ATCCTGAAAGTAAAGTGAACATTTTGGCCCCAACGTATAAAGGAGTTAATATAAGTTTATAATAATGTGTTTAATAAACACATTATTCATTATTTCATCAACAGTTTATTTCTCATATTCCACATTCTGCTGTAACGTGTTGGTTGAAGCTCTTCAGTGATCTGCTGGTTGTTAGTATGTGTGCATGTGTCAGATTGTATCATTCAGTAAAGTTTCTGCTGATGTTGTTGGGCAACCTCAGTGTTTACATGTCTTATCATTTCATTTGGTCAACTGGAAATGTTTGATTTCAATTTAACTGGATGTGTTTAATGATATTAATCCAGAATAAACACATATAAACTGCAGTGTAATGATATTAATCCAGAATATAACCTGCAGTGTAATGATATTAATCCAGAATAAACACATATAAACTGCAGTGTAATGATATTAATCCAGAATAAACACATATAAACTGCAGTGTAATGATATTAATCCAGAATAAACACATATAAACTGCAGTGTAATGATATTAATCCAGAATAAACACATATAAACTGCAGTGTAATGATATTAATCCAGAATAAACACATATAACCTGCAGTGTAATGATATTAATCCAGAATAAACACATATAAACTGCAGTGTAATGATATTAATCCAGAATAAACACATATAAACTGCAGTGTAATGATATTAATCCAGAATAAACACATATAAACTGCAGTGTAATGATATTAATCCAGAATAAACACATATAAACTGCAGTGTAATGATATTAATCCAGAATAAACACATATAAACTGCACTGTGTAATGATATTAATCCAGAATAAACACATATAAACTGCACTGTGTAATGATATTAATCCAGAATAAACACATATAAACTGCAGTGTAATGATATTAATCCAGAATAAACACATATAAACTGCAGTGTAATGATATTAATCCAGAATAAACACATATAAACTGCAGTGTAATGATATTAATCCAGAATAAACACATATAAACTGCAGTGTAATGATATTAATCCAGAATAAACACATATAAACTGCAGTGTAATGATATTAATCCAGAATAAACACATATAAACTGCAGTGTAATGATATTAATCCAGAATAAACACATATAAACTGCAGTGTAGAGTGAACTGTGTCTGCTGGACTTTGTGCTGAACAGTCTGCCTGGTAACAGCTGACGAGCAGGTCATGTGATGTGTTCTCTGCTTTTTAGAGCCGCTCTCAGTCAGACTGTGTCAGTGTTTGTGAAGTGAACAGAGGAACATGGCTTCATCCTTTCTCAGCTTCTCCCTCCTCTTCATCATCAGCCTCTACACAGCAGGTAGGATCAATACACTGATCACTGATCAATACACACTGATTATACTTTATCAGCCTCTACACAGCAGGTAGGATCAATACACTGATCACTGATCAATACACACTGATTAACTTTATCAGCCTCTACACAGCAGGTAGGATCAATACACTGATCACTGATCAATACACACTGATTATACTTTATCAGCCTCTACACAGCAGGTAGGATCAATACACTGATCACTGATCAATACACTGATCAATACACACTGATTATACTTTATCAGCCTCTACACAGCAGGTAGGATCAATACACTGATCAATACACTGATCAATTTACTGATCAGTGATCAAAACAGTAATCAGTGATCAATACAGTAATCAGTGATCAATACAGTGATCGTACTGTTTGTGCTCTGTCTCTGCAGATGGATTCCGGAGTTATGACATAGATCGCTGTGTGTTTAACTCCACTGATCCGAAGAACATCGAGTACATCTACTCTCAATATTACAACAAGTTGGAGTTCACCAGGTTCAGCAGCAGTGTGGGAGAGTTTGTTGGTTACACTGAGTGCGGAGTGAAACAGGCTAAATACTTTAACAGTGATCCTTCAATACTGGCTCGGAGGAGAGGTGAGAAGGAGAGGTACTGCCTGAACCACGTTAACACTTACTACCAGGCTGCTCTGGATAAATCAGGTGAGTTTGTGTTTGTGTAACATCAACAGCATCTTATTGATTAACTCTTTATATTGATCACTTCTTTATTGACTCTGCTAACAGGAAGTGATCACTGTCTCATTATATAATCAAATACTGTAAATATTGATCAGATATTACTTTATTGATTACCTCTTTATTGAGTGTGTGTGTGACAGAGTGTAAACTGGTTCTACTGATGTTAATTTATTTTAATATTCTTATTAAATATTATAAAATATCTCTGTCTCCTCCTGGTGGTGAAACTCTGTTACTGCTGATAATACTACTGATTACTAATATTACTCTATTGATTATTAATCATTTCACAAGCTAACCTTTTTTATAGTTAATAGATTAATAGATAGTTAATAGAATAGTAGTGTCTCCACTCTGACTGTATGACATTATGATCACTTCCCTGAAGTTAAACTTTATATGGTTTGTAAAACACTGTAAACATAATTTAGTAAAACAAAGATTGTGTTGTTTATGAGTTCAGATATTAACTTTAAGTTGTTGTTTAGATTATTATATTATTATATATGTGAGCGTGGATGGTAAAAGATTCTGTAATATTCACAGTATCAATAGAAATATAACTAATAATAATAACTGTAATCAGACACAACTAAAGTTCAAAGTTATAAATATTAACTTCATACAAGGGTGATATGAACTTATTTTATTAAACTGCATCTTGAGGGACAGATAAAGTCTTTTAAATTAATAATAATAGTGTAAATAATAATATTAATGATCCTAACGTCTGTGTTCCAGTTAAGCCCTATGTCAGACTGCACTCGGTGGCGCCCCCTGCTGGTAAACATCCCTCCATGTTGGTCTGCAGCGTCTACGACTTCTTCCCCAAACACATCAGAGTGAGCTGGCTCAGAGACGGACAGGAAGTCACCTCTGATGTCACTTCCACTGATGAGCTGGCAGACGCTGATTGGTTCTACCAGATCCACTCTCACCTGGAGTACACGCCCAGGTCAGTCAGACCAGTACCAGAACCAGGTCCACTCTCACCTGGAGTACACGCCCAGGTCAGTACAGAACCAGGTCCACTCTCACCTGGAGTACACGCCCATGTCAGTACAGGACCAGGACCAGGTTCAGGTTCAGATAGGTCCAGATCCAGTCTCACCTGGAGTACAAGCCCAGGTCAGTACAGAACCAGGTTCAGGTTCAGTTAGGTCCAGGTCCAGGTCCAGTTAGGTCCAGGTACAGGTCCAGGTTCAGATAGGTCCAGATCCACTCTCACCTGGAGTACACGCCCAGGCCAGTACCGGACCAGAACCAGGTTTAGATAGGTTCGGATCCACTCCTAACCTGGAGTATACGCCCAGGTCAGTACCGGACCAGAACCAGGTTCATATAGGTCCAGATCCACTCTCACCTGGAGTACACGCCCAGGCCAGTACCGGACCAGAACCAGGTTTAGATAGGTTCGGATCCACTCTAACCTGGAGTATACGCCCAGGTCAGTACCGGACCAGAACCAGGTTCATATAGGTCCAGATCCACTCTCACCTGGAGTACACGCCCAGGTCAGTACAGGTCCAGGTTCAGGTCCAGTTAGGTCCAGGTTCAGGTCCAGACCCTCTGATTTGCTGTTTGTGTTGATTCAGGTCTGGAGAGAAGATCTCCTGTGTGGTGGAGCACGCCAGCCTGAGAGAACCTCTGGTTACTGACTGGGGTAAATACCTGTCTGTCTCTTTATCTGTCTACCTGTCTCTTTACCTGTCTTCCTGCTCACCTGTCTGTCTGCCTGTCTGTCCTCAGACCCCTCCATGCCTGAGTCTGAGAGAAACAAGATCGCCATCGGAGCCTCCGGACTGATCCTGGGTCTGATCTTGTCTCTGGCTGGATTCATCTACTACAAGAGGAAGGCCCGAGGTCAGACCAGTACCCAGACTGAAACCAGACCAGTACCCAGACCAGTACCCAGACTGAAACCAGAACAGTACCCAACTATTAAACCAGTTTTAGTCCAGTCTCAGACCAGGTTTATCAGAGTCTCAGTCTGGTTTATCCTCATTAGTCCTTCAGAAACTGCTCAATGTGGTTGTCTCAGTGTACTTGTTTTGGATCAGTTTGGACCACCAGGGCCCTTTAGTCATCTTGTTCTTTAAACCAGAACCAGGAGTCTAATTCCCACTAACAGGCAGGATCCTGAACCCTGACCTCGTCTCAGACCAGTTCAGACTAGTTTAAATGATGTGGTGTCTGTATTTGTTGTTGACTTTGTTCTTTTCCTTAATCCAGGAAGGATTCTGGTTCCCAGTAACTGATCCTGGTCCTGATCCTGGTCCTGGTCCTGGTCCTGTCCCTGGTCCTGTCCCTGGTCCTGGTCCTGGTCCTGGTCCTGTTCCTGTTCCAGTCCCTGTCCCTGGTCCTGTCCCTGGTCCTGTTCCAGTTCCTGTTCCTGTCCCTGGTCCTGGTCCTACTTGCTGTGTTTGGAGCTCAGCAGACTGTCAGTGCTGCCCCCTGCTGGACCATCTGAACACTGATTCTCTGATGATCTGGACTCTGATACTGAGCTGGTCTGAACCTGATCCAGGACAGTCCTGTTGGTTGTGAACCTTTATGAGGACGGTCCTGGACCAGGTTCAGTGTGGCTCTGGATCTGGACTCTGATGCTTTACTGTGTGAAATCAATATTCAGCTTTTTGAATCCAATATAATCTGGTGGTGTGAATGATTTTATTACCTGCAGTCAGAAACTCTCTGTGGATTATTGATCAGATATCAATCAACAGGAAGTGGAATGATCTATTGATTCTGTCTGAGAGCTCTGTCATTGATTATAAAGTTCATATTAAAGTTTTAAAGACGTTTGTGTTTAAAGTTCATGAAGCTTTAACGTCACCGACAACCATTCAACTCAACTTTATGTGTACGTTGGTTCTGAACAGAAGGGTTAGGGTCAGTGAGAGAAGCTGCAGGTTCATATGGAACCGACTCATTATTGATTACCCACAGCTCTTAATATCATAGGCCTTCATATATATTATTGATAAACACAATGCAGAAATAATAATGGTCACAATGTTCAAATATTAACAATATATAGTCCTACCTGTAATATTTATTATTAAAATAATAACAGTAATATATAGTCCTACATGTAGTATTTATTATTAAAATAATAACAGTAATATATAGTCCTACCTGTAGTATTTATTATTAAAATAATAACAATATATAGTCCTATTACTATATATATATAAACTATATATATATATATATATATATATATATACATATATATAAACTATATATATATATATATAAACCCCTGAAACCTGCTCTCTCCTCAACCTTTTAAACACATTAGCAGGAACCTGTGAGCTTTGTCATCATTTCAAACCAAATTTGTTGTTTCGTTTGTTTTTATTTGAACTGTATGTGAAGAGGTAGAAAACTATCAATCTTGATGGAGATTTTCCTCTTCATGTGTTGGGCCGGGGGGAGGAGGATGGAGGGCCAGAAATGGGCTGCAGGCCAGCAGTTTAACCCCCCCTGTTCCCTCCATACTGATAATGAAAATACGTGATACTGTCACGTATTTTAATCTATTGGTTCGTGGTCTGGGACACGAAATTTCCACTTTTTCAAACTCATGTATTTCAATTGGAAGTATATAGTGTCACCAAGCACGACTTTCAAACTCATGTTCTGTCTGGGAGCGTTCTCCCTAATGTCCCTTAAGGGGCTCCGTACAGATAATTTATTGTTTATTTTTCTAAACCGTGTCCGTCACTGGACAGGATATAAGCAAGAAACCGATACAAACAATATTAGGTTATTCATTAATTGATTAATTCAGAATAAATAAATAAGAAAGTAATATCATTCAGACAGCTGGGTCTATTCATTCGTCTCAATCACAAAAGCATCACCCTTTACTTTTAATGATATCTGTAAAAGTTGACAGCCACTTCCTGACTACGTTACCCATGAGCGTTCTCTGCCGTTGCCATGGTGAAGACGCAAGCTATCTGGTGGCGTAAGCACTGTCGTCAGTTTTAGCGGGATTTCGCTCTTTCGCTCCCAAACTGCTGTTAAGATAAGTTGTATGACTATACGTCTGCTATGTGTTGTGTTTAATATGATAAATGACTCGCATGGTTTAATATTAGGGCGAAGATTAAATCCCCACCAGTGATTCACCATTGGTCAGCACAAACTCTTAAACTAACAATACAGCATTATCGTTATATCCAATGAATTGTAGCGTCGAGCATTAAGCAGATGTCATAATTCTGACTATAATAATGTGAGTAACTGAATTGTGTGAGCTCATCTGTCACTGTAGATCCCTTTTAAACTGTTTTGGGTTTTACTTTGTTAAGTTGTGTAGAAAACAACATGCTGTCTTTGAACAATTTATTATGCTCTCATGGTGCTTTCCCGCCATAGAGATCAAGAAAAACCCGCTAAAATAAGTACAACAAAACCCTCCCTACTTCTGGTCTTCCGTGCGGTCCTTCAAAATAAAAGTCTGCTTCAGAGTAAAACATACCGTAGCTAGGGATGAACGATTAACGGTTTAAAGGTAAAGCATGGTAGAATTCCTGACAGTTCAAAACTTAACTATCATTAAAACCATGATAACTGTGTGATATGACACTTTCACAGTAAATTTGACCCTCCCAGGCACAGGTGTAGTGTGAGTTAATGTTAATGCATAGCTGATATGGTTTTCTTATCATTAGGTATTGGCTATATTAATATTATATTGTTTTGCAAACCAAAAGTGCACATTGCTGCTAACTTAGTTTGTGATTGATGGTTGACAGTTTTTTTCTTTTCTCCCTGCAGCTCCTTTATAGTCAACCCCCATCACACCTTATTGTCGTCATTTTGAAAACCCAAAGGCACTTTTAAGAGCCAAGTCCATCTATCTATCTATCTATCTATCTATCTATCTATCTATCTATCTATCTATCTATCTATCTATCTATCTATCCATCTATCTATCTATCTATCTATCTATCTATCTATCTATCTTTCTATCTATCTATCTATCTATCTATCTATCTATCTATCTGTCTGTCTGTCTGTCTGTCTGTCTGTCTGTCTGTCTGTCTGTCTGTCTGTCTGTCTGTCTGTCTGTCTGTCTATCTATCTGTCAGTCTGCCTGTCTGTCTGTCAGTCTGCCTGTCTGTTTGCCTGTCTGCCTTTCTGTCTGTCAGTCATTTATCATGCCTGGGGGGTCGATCCAAAAGAAGTGCCCCTTTTGTGAGTCCATTTTATTTTGTGCCCAAAACAAATGCTCATATTGTAAAATGGAGCAGCCTGCCGAGCAGCGACTGAAGAAAAGACTGAAAAAGTTTGACCAGAAGCGAGAGGAATGGGTGGTTGGCCTTAAAAAGAACCACAACCTGGCATCCATTAAGGATGAAGCTATAGTCCTGGTATGTAGTATGTACCGTTTTTATGTAACATTAAAATGTCCAGATAATCTAGAAAATAAATATAGTAAGTGATGCCATTTATGACCAAGAGAGCGAGCCACTACAAGGTCAGAACTTCACTCAGATTTCAAAATGTACTTTTTTGTCCATCGGCCAATGGATAGTTAATGTTCAAATTTTATTTAGTTTTTAATTTACCAGTCACTCAATAGATTACCACTGATATTTTCTCACTTGCACATTTTACCAGAATTTTGCTGGTGACTGGTGCTATGTAGTATGAACCCTGTTTATATTACTCAAAGCACTTAACAATGTACATATGACCCATTCAGTCACAGAATCACAAAGGTTAACATTTTATCTATGTAGATGCCAAACCTGTGCTATAAATGTGCCACAAAGTTTGATTGTATCCATACTTAGTGATTTTCAACTTCTGCTTGGAGGAGAGTGTATGAGATAATACATTGCTGTGTGTCTATATAGAAGAGTTAGTTTCTGCTTCTACTGTTTGAGCCTTTCCTGTATCCAGCTAAACTCACCATGATGATAAGGCCATCATGAATGACTGTCATCAATAATGTTATATTTTTGATGTATTTTTATATTTAATAATTACAGTAATATACTTTTTGCTGTTGCTTTTACATTTTTTAACCAGCAAATACATCATTTTGTCGTTGCAGCTTGAGAAACTCCATGCCATGGGCTACAAGCCGGTTCTCCTTCTTGGCAAGGAGACAAAGACGGGAGCAACAAATTGTGAAGTTTTAACGCCTCGTTGCGAACTCACTCTTCAGGCCCAGAACTCACTCCAGAAGATGGGCTCATTTTATGAGTCTATTTGTGAAGGTGAGATGGACGCACTGTATTTTGAATTTACAGTTCACAACTAGTGTTTGGTTTGAAAAAACATTTTGTGAGATTTTGCAAACTACAAGTTAATATGAATATCAATATACTCTCAAATTTTGAGCTTAAGATGCAGATGGACCATTAAGAAAAATAGCACAAACCAAAAGAAAACCATTAAATGTTGATGGCGTACATCACGACTCAGTTTTTTAGCACACACAGTCCAGTGTGTCATTCTTTGAATAGATAATAATTTTTTCCTGTATAAACAGTGTACTCTATTTATTTATTATAGTCACATAAAATCAAACACAGATTTACAGATATCTACTATAAAAGACAGTAAACTATCAATAATCCTCCTGTAATCTAAAGTGACCACAAACCAAGTTGGGAAGAATAGAACTACACAATTCTCAGAGATTAAATCGGGCACAGTTGAAGCTCTTGGTTGACCTCTTTGTTCTAAGTAGGCATAACAGAACTCTTGTTTAACTTACATAGGTTGGAGTCAGGAAATTCCTGCAGCTGATGATCAGGTGATCACACTAACCCTCACACCGTGTGACCCCTTGGAGGTCAAAAGCCAGGAGCAGGCAAGCAGCACAGAGGGAAAAGGTAGCTAAGGCAGATTTCCAGCGTTACAATACATTGTAAATGCTGACAGTGTTGGACCCATGGATTACCTTGCACAACTTTTTACCCATAGAGTTTTAGGTCACTTTCATGTTATGTTCTACAATATAAACAGTGTCTGCTGTTAAATCAAATACCCGTCAGTTGTAGATCAAAAATACATCATTTTCCTCTTACCTGTCCTGTACTAGTGCTGTCACTTTAAAAAAAAAATCTAGTTCGAACAAATCTAAAAATAAATGGTAGGATAGCTGTTAGGATAGTAGAGTTTGCCGTGACTTTGCTATCCACTGTGTAAAACTCAAAATACTTCCACATGCTGCTCTTCTCCTCACTATTATCATCCATTCTCGAAGCAAATTAGCTTACTTTACTGCTTTGACTGAGAGGCTGCAGGCCAAGAGCTGTTAAGAGGGGCCGGCTATAGGTAAATCTGATAGAAGCACCCCCTGCTGGAATACAATGCAAACTACTTCCAGTGGTCTGATGCGCTTAAGGAGATTACAGCCTACAATGTTTGAATATCGAATAAAAATTGACAGCCCTAACCTTTACCATAGAGCTGTTCATCCATCTGGATGGTTTTGGTGTGAGTTGCCCAGTTTTTGAGGTACTCTTTCCAATACAATGGAGCGGAGTGGGATTTCTCTTGTGGTGCTCAAAGAGCAACAGCAACAAAAAACATTTGAAAAACTCAACAGCAATGTCTCCTTCCAGAAGTCACGACCCAGTTACCTAAGATAATCCACAGACCTCGTTTTGAGTAGTTTAGTGTAGTTTGATTGAAAGAAAAGTAGTTACTACATACATGAAACTGCGCACAACAAGGTCTGTGGATTATCTCGGTCTGGGTAACTGGGTCTTGATTTCTGGAAAAAGACATTGCTTTTTTTTGACCTGAATTACTCATTTGTAGTCATTTTATGTTTTCAGTTTAAAGGAATAGTTCACTTTAAATGAAAATGTAGTCATTATCTACTCACCCTCGTGTCAATGAGAAGTCCGGTGTATTTTTTAATCCACTCAACACTGCTGGAGTTTCACAGGAAAACAGATTGTAGCATTTTTCCAGACAACAGAAGTCTATAGAGACCAGTGTTAAAATGGCTCCTGGAGCTGCCACATGCAGAGCTGACTTGAAAAAACATAATTTACGTTGTGTTTCTAGCAAAGAGCTAGCTTAGAGCTACGGTCATGTGTGCGTTCCTCACACACGCATGTGACTGCATCTGTAAGCTAGCTCTGACAGGTAGCTGTGCTGCAACCTGTCTGAGACCTGTGCTGGTCTCTGTCAACTGCTGTTGTTTGGAAAAAGACTCGTTTTCCTGTAAAAGTCCAGAAGGATTTTGTGTATTAAAAACTACACTGTATTTCTCACCAGCTTGAGGTTGAGTAGATAATGACTGAATTTTCATTGAACTATTATTTTACATATAAAATAAAATGTTCAACAATGTCAGTGTTCGCATTACAAGTGTCTTTTCTCTTATTTGCTGCAGCCTACAGCTCTGACCTGATCAGGGCTCATGCAGAGCGAGCCCTAAACCTAAGCCCTGTGCAGACTGCTGAGGAGGTGGAGAACCCCAAAGACTTGCAGACTGCTGAGGAGGTGGAGAACCCCAAAGACTTGCAGACTGCTGAGGAGGTGGAGAACCCCAAAGACTTGCAGACTGCTGAGGTGCAGAGCAGAGGCGGGTAGAGTACTGAAAATCTGTATATCTGGTATACTCAGCCCTGTCTGTTTTGACCCATTTACTCACCCCTTGCATTCCCTGATCAAGCCAGAAACGAAGGATCAGCACTTGTTGAAACAAATTGGGATAACCAAATACAGTATGGACACCTACTAATTTACCTACTTAAACTGCTGCATTTGAGTTGTGGTGTGATGCTCTAGTCTTTGAATTGATTAGTTAAAGCTTAATTTGGTATATGACTAATTTCCCTCTCCAAACCTGTATCTGTCTCCACAGGGTCAGACACGGGCACAGAGCTTAATCCAAGACGAAAAAAGAAAACAGTCAGGTACGTAAATATTGTTTTTAGGGTAGTTATAATATTTTAATGAATTGAATTATTAGAATATTAGTATTCTGATTACTATTTATAACCAAAGCTCATTTGTCAAGCTGATTCTCTCATGGGAATGAATTAATCAAAAAGAATGAGAAAGAATTAAGAATTGTGTAATATGTGAGATAGTATTTTTGTGATTTGTTTTTTGGTGTGGACATTTGACTGGACTGTAATCTTCTATTCCACAGAGGCACCAAAGCATCTGCCTGTGAGGAAAAAGACACAGATAAGTAAGTTTAAATGTTTCATGTGTTTAATCATCATGGCACAGATAGGTCAGTCAATATGTTTACTTGCACACAAGAAATCTGACTATTACAAGTAATCAGGCTATGGCTGGAAATCAGGTAATGGTTTACATGCGTTACCTTACTCTAAAAATATACATGTAAATGCACCCCATCACCAAATGTGAGAATGCCTCAGTTATCAGTCCTTCTGTCAGTGTGATAACATTGCTAGTTTTACCCATGGTTATTTTCCATAGTTTCATTGCTTATTTTTTGTAACTACTTACAACAGATTATTATTATAATTTTATTATATTATTTCATAACAGACAACCTATAAAATTCCAACAGGCCTCGTGTGTCATTAGACCAAAGTCTGATTGCAACTTAAAGGTGCTGTAAGTGGTTGCATTTAGCAAGAAAACAAAAAAGAATTATGTAAGCGTTACATAGCTCTACATTGTGACAGCCATCAGTGGTTTGGGTGTTTTGTCATTAACATGGGGTCCTCCACTCTGCAGTAAACAGAAAAGACATTTTCTGGTGTTCTGTTCCCTCTTTCAGCCAATCAGTAGGGAGAACTCCACACATTTCTTTTCCATTTACTGCAGAGCACAGGGACTGGGAGACCCACGTCAATGACCAAACACTCTAAATCACTGATGACTGTAGGACTATAGAATTATTTAACACTTATATTAACACAAATATATCACTTATTTCTGCTTTAAGTCATCAGGGTTGTATTATTTTGTTACTAATCTAAAAATATATGTACATGTTTGTGATGTTCACAGACTGCTCCTACCACTCTCGTCTAGAGGCTTTCCCCATCAGACGAGTTGTAAAAGAAAGATTGAGAAATGTAAGACAGCAATAAAATAATTCATAGAGGGTTATGATTATTAGAATTGAGAAAATTCCTTGTGAGTTAGATTAAAGGAGTCATAACCTGGAAAACACATTTTCCCTTGTTAATACAAGTATATTGTAGTTGGACCTCAGTTGAAACTTGCCTGAAAATTTGGAGTTTGAAAGTGGTTCTGTTTTTTCGTTTGGCCTCTTTGTTGAAACCACAAGGGTACGCACCCAAAACAAGAGGTTTTCATTCTGCTCCTCAGCTGACGTCAGCTCAGGAGCAGAATGAAAACCTCTTGCTCTCAGGGGGACACAACAAGCTCAATGTTTATAATTTATTTGGCAAATTCTTTTTTAAAAATCATTTTAAGACAATCAAAGAGAGACAAGATATGTTAAAACACCAGGTGATGAGTCCTTTAAAACATATTTTGTACTGAAAAATTAATTTAAAAACACTGTAAATATCAACTACATCCCACTGTATCAATGAAAATCGATGATTACTGCTAAAAATAAAAGCTTAATCCTAAGAATGGAATTAATGATTTTTTTTCTCTTTATAGGGCAAAGAAGAAATATTGGTTGACTGGAAGCCCTGTCCAGTATGGTATATATTCAGCCTTTGTTCTGCTTCTTCTAGTCCCATGTTGGAGAACAAACATATCCTACCACCAGTAGTCTAATTTTTTTCACTGTTGCATCAGTTAAAGCGACCCATATGTTTATGCATAATTGATTTACGTCAGAGTGTGTTTAAGATTTTGTTTTGATTGTGTTGTGTTGATGTGTGCTTGATTCATGTTTAAAGGTTTAAGTTCATTGGAAAGACTCAACAAGTACCAGTAACAGACAAAAACCCCTTCTGTTTTCAGTGGTAAGGAGTGGGCCCATTCCTGGCAACCGAAGGATTTTCTTCAATGAATGAATTCATAGTTTTTAGTTTTTTTGTACTTTATATTGTTTGCTAATATAAGTGACATATTATTTGATTGTTGTGTTTTTTTGTTGTTATGAAAGATAAATAAATTGTCAAAGATGAACATTTTTGGTTTTACTTCTCCATGCATCATCTTATTCAAAAACACAATGTGATAGTGTTAGTTGATGAAAGGTAATAGCTAAAGAAGATGACGAAAATAACCATAAATACAGCATGATTAGACTTTATTTATCTTTTATTATTTACTTGCTATCACATCGCATTATTTCACTTTCTTAAGTGGATTACTTTAATGAATCAACATCCGTTATTTCTTTCACCCAGACAGTATACCGTATACTGTACTACAGTATATGTTTACATTTTGTATACATCAAAGTGGACTACATATTTGTGGTAGATTATTATTTGTTTTAGCTTTTTAAAAATATAAGTAATTTTGTTATATAACACATTAAGTGAATGTTGCTAATGATTATGTCATTGCTACATGCAAAGGGCCACTAGTTTCATCCACAGCAGTGGTACACTGGTATAAAGACAGGTTTGCCAATGTCTTTATACAGAGAACTAAATGTAAGTATCAGCATTTCTGAAATGTGTACCTGTGTATTGACGGAATATACAGTAAATACTGTTCTACCGAGTTGTAAATTTAGTAGCTTTTAATCCAATAATAATAATTATTTTCCTAATACATAACAGAAATTGTCTGACTGCCCTCAGTTGCCTCAATAAGCCCATCTTGATTTGTCCATCAGTATTTGGAGGTTAGGATACATTTATATGGTAGCATGATTGACTGTTCCCTGGCCTGAGAAAGGTCAGAGCACCTATCTGCAGTGATCTGACCTCCCCAACACAACCAAAGCAACACTGACACAAAAAGAAAAGAAGAAAGGCTTCTGGACAAGAAAGAGTTTCTCCGGCTGAATACAACACATGACTCCAAGCCTGGAGAAAAGGAAGGTGAACAGAAAAATGTAGTGATATTGTAAAATATTAGGACAAAGTACACCTTTGATTTTAAGAACGTAACCATTGAGATTCAGTCATTTTTTAGCTTCAGCTGTCATCGGGTTCATGTTTAGAGATATATCTATAAGTGAAACTATACACACAGGTTTTAGGACGGTGTCATCCGGACAATATAGGACCATTCTGGATGGTTTGAGGAGAAGTTAAAGTTGCAGTGTTCTATGAAGTACTGTATATGTATCGCCCTCCGCACAGCATGTTAGGCCTATGCTGACTTTTTGGATAAAAAGGTCCTATGATGGTTATTTTATAAGATATGTTTGCAAAACTTAAACTGTACACAGAAATGTATTAGCACTACGATATATTACAAATTGGATCATCCAGGATGATCCTGTCAGACTGGGGAAGGGGTTAAAGGGTCTATAAACCGCCATATTAAGTTAATGGGAAAATGTCAAAGGTGAAACAATCTGTAGTTTAAGGCGAAAATAAACTCGGAACTGGTCCACATTGAAAAGTATGACTGTGTATAATCCTATAATCGATATCTTAAATAAATCTGGCCACAAAATACCCGTTAAAAGATTTTGAGTGACTGTTTCCAGCTTGGCCCTTAAAGAGGTCTCTGAATGTATACGTCAAACAGCCATGATGTCTACCAACAAGAAAATCAAACTTTGTCGTAGGACAACAGTGAAGACATCGTTGGAAAGGTCTTGACCTAGGGAGCAACATATGTCAATATGAGATTTGTGGGCGGTTCCTGCTCCTCAGGTGTGCCCTTTGAACCTTGTACCTGTGACACTTTTGAAGGCTTATAGTTCAACAACAAAATATGCTACAGACATGGGGTCAACAGTTTTGGAAAGCTCTGCACCTATACTATCATACCCAGCAGCAGACCAATAGGGGGCGCCACTGAGTAGGGTCAAAACCTATAAAAAACATGATTTCACCCTCTTACCGATAAAAAAGTTAAAATCAGACCAAACAGGCGTGGTTCCCACCCTTAAAAACATATAATAAGCTTGCAAAGTTCGTGTTCACAGTTTTACATAATAGAGATAATTCATTGGAACTACAAAAGCTATGACGCAGCACAATGCTGTGTACTGTAACTCGGCACAAATTGTAGTTCTGGTATCCTCCTTCCGGTGTAGGGTTAAGATGTTGACATTAGGGTTCAGAAATCATATATCCGCTCAAATTATTAACAGGCAAAGTATGACCATAAAGTTTATATTTATATTGTGAGTAGATATATGTGATGAAAAAGATAAATATATACATTTATTAGTGCTATTTTTACGTATTTCCTGCTGCTCTATCTTTCTATCTTTCTTGCTTATATCTTTCAGACCTCATCCTTCGATCTACTTTCTCGCTATAAAGTGTTAATGTGGTCTATAATTTGTTTTAATATGGTGTGGCTTCCAAACAAGACCATTTAGTTCAGTATACCTGCAGTAGGATGGATTAATAAACGATAGCAGTCGCAGATAACTAGCAATAGCCTTACTGGCTAGTGAACACACCCCAAGGTTTTCAAGACGTCAGTCAACCCCAACTTGAATTTGATATTAACATGACAATTTAGGTTATCTAAGTATCATATAACATAATATATATATATATATAACCCAATATAATAGAGTGAACAATACTACATTTATATATTAATAACATTGTAATGTGTTTCCCAACTCCCTCCATCCAGTTTAATACTGCAAACTTCTAATCATGGCGAATACATCAATGTATTTAAAAATACAATGCCCATTACAATTGTTCCTTTGAAATTGTTAGGAAGCATACAAATTAGAAGGGATACTTGTAGTTCTTCCACCAAGAGGAGGGTTGTAATTAAGTTTACTAAATCAAAAATCTACGACAAGTAAAACATAGGCTACATTATACTGTGTATAGATGATTTGGGTGAAGGAGATCAGTTCATTAATGTAATCCACTTAAATAATAATGTATTGTGATGTTAAATTGAACTAAATTCCAAATATAATAATGCATTATTTATGTTTGTTTCCCATATTTTCTCTTGCTAGTAGGCTATATTTTTTATAAAACATAAAACTGTCACATGATGTTTCTAAACATGATGGAAAAGTAAAACCAAAAATAGTCATTTTAGGCAATAATTTATTCATCTTTTACACCAATACTGGAGAAAATACACCAAATGCATATCTGTCCAACAAACAATTGGG